GCCGCCCCCTCCCCGCCCTGCCGGCCCGCAGCCGCACAGCTCCCCCACCTGGGGGCGGCGGATCTTGGCTTGCCCGGGCCAGAGACGCACCTTCCTCCCTGGGCTGCGGCGGGTTGTTAAAGGGGCATCTGCGACAGAGCCCTTGGCTCCGCGCCTGGCACAGTGAAAGTGTTCAGGGTAGGTCGGGGTGCAGCCCGCATGGTGATACACATTTTTAAAATTTTATTTTATTTAACTTTATTTATTTACTTTAATTTGAGCAGAGAGAGACAGAGTGAGTGAGAGTGAAAGAGAGAGAGAGAGAGAAAAGCAAGCGGCCAGGTCCAGGACCCGAACCCCGTCAGCCTTGTGGGAGTGCAGTGCCCTCAACCACCACGCCACCTGCGGTGCTATGAATTTTACTATCATAATCTCATCTGATCTTATAAGGTATTATCAAAAAAAGATCATTATAAGGGTTATCAACTACAAATTATAACAGGGGCAGTGAGGTAAATCCACAGATGCCCGCTGTCTCCACCCCTGCAGGCCCACCCTCTGTCATACTGTTGGGAGTCCATGAATGGCAAACCTCGCCTGGCTCCCTGCTTGTCCATAACTGTGTTTCTTACCCCTCACTTTACAAATGTCTCCAAAAACTGATCAAAGGAATGAATTATCCTTTTAGAAAAAAAACATTAAGCGCACACAAAAACCATATGATCGGGCACACACCCTAGGGTCATCCTTTAAGTACTGGCCTTGATAGAAGTTTCCCTTTGGGGAGTTGAAGGAATGCAGGAACTACTGGCGTTCTGGAAATATTTAATAGCACCAAGACTAGAGTGAGGCTCTCTCCTAGAGGCAAGATATAAATGGGGGCAAGGAGGTAGCAAAAAATTCCTGTGTTCATTCAAGGTAAACTCTGCAACTCCTATCAACGGGCACTAGGAGGACGGACCTGGGTCTTCATCACTCCCGGCCTTTGCATATACTGTTCCTTCTGCTTGAAATGCTCTTCCCTAGCCGGTAACTTGTACCTATCCTCCTAAAAGCCATCTCCCCTGAAGCCTTCCCTGACTCCACAGCCTTTTGGGCAAATATATTTCAAGATTGCATCATCCCTTTGCGTACCCATCAGGGTTCTACCAGAGAAGCAGAACCATTGGAGATTTGCTGTAAGAACTGGCTTATAATAAATTGTGCAAGTTTGAAGTTCACAAAGCAGGCCTTCAGGAAGGAGAGGCTGGAATTCTTAGGCTTCAGCTGAAACTGTAATCCACAAGGAGGATCTCTTGTTTTTTCAGGGCAACCTCAGTCCTGTTCTTAAGGCCTTTCAACTGATTAAATCAAGCCCACCCAGGTACACTCCTTTTAAACTCAACTGATTATAGACATTAATCACATCTATAAAATATTGCCTTTATAGCAACACCAAGGTTAGTGTGTGCTTGAAAAACTGGGGATGATAGCCTAGGCAAGTTGACATATCAAACTGACCATCTCTATTAGTTTCTTTTTTTTTTTTGGAGAGATTTTCACTGTAGGGTGCATGCGCTCGCCAGACAGACAGAGAGACATAGAGACAGAAAGCGAGAAATCACCCCCCAGGGGGGACGGTCACGCCGCAATCCCTTCTCCTCCATTCTCCTCTCGGGATCTTGGGCACGCACGCACACGCGCCCGGCGTGAGTTTTAAGCCACCGGGTCCGGGACACGAACCGCGGTCAACTATGTGGGAGTCCAGCGACATAGCCATTACGCCAACTGCTGGTTCCCCCATCTCTATTAGTTTCTAAGAGTTACAATGTACTGCATATTTGGTTCCTTAGAACAATGATAATTTTTAAAAAATCATTAAAAATAATAATGTTAATAAAAGCAACAGAAAGTTATTCACTCATATTCTCAGAGGCTAGACGCCAGCAATCAAAATGTGAGCAGAACCATGCTCCCTCTGAAGGATCCAGGAGAGAACTTTCCCATACCTTTCTCTTAGCTTCTGGTGTTGCTGGCGGTCAGTATTCCTTGGCTTGTGGATTCAGCACTCCAATCTCAGCCTCCACCGTCCACATAGCTTTCTCCTCCCATATGTCTGTCTCTGTGTCCCTCCTACTCCTCACCTAAGGACAACAGTCATATTGGACTAGGGCATACTCTAAAGACCTCATTTTAATTTTATTACATCTGTAAAGACCCTATTTCTAAATAAGGTCTCATTCACAGGTACCAGAGTTAGGACTTCAACATATCTTTGGGGGAACATAATTAAATCTACACCACCAATCACTCTTTGAATGGTACTTGATGTATCGGACTGATACATCCGGGTGTTTAAGTCACACCTTGGCCATGTAACAGAAAGAGGAAGGGACTTAGAGTACACACTGTGGTCACTTAGTGATCCCTGGTTAAGTGCAGGGAGCGGCTGCTCCCGAGCACAGTAAACATGGATGCCTATGGTCTCCTTGCCAGAGGGCCACTGTGATAATCTAATCTAGGAGTTTCAAAATCTGCTCCCAAGAACCCCTGGGGACCATCGAGGAAAGTAAAAAGGAGGCTGACTGGATAGAGCTCCAGTTCTTCCCCCAAACCAGAGCACTGACATGTTCATCTGTTTAATACTTTCAGCTTCCTTATTAGACTGCAGTAGCCTCCTGTTTACCAAGAACCTCAATGAGGCCAGAGGTTTGTCCAGAGCTATCCCTTGTCTATGGCAGAACAGGAAATAAAAAGGATTAGGAAGGTGTGGCAGAAACTGTGGATACCTGCCAATATCTATTCTTCTTTTCTTCCTTGACAGTAGATTTTTTTTGGTTGTTTCCTGGGCAAAAGAAGACTAGATTTCTCAGACTCCCTTGAAGCTAGGTGTGACTGTGTGATTAAGTGTGTCTCCAATGGGCTACAAAGGGCAGTGTCAAGTGGGACTCAGGAGTAATGTATATAAATGAAACTTCTTGGGCCACCTGGTGGTGTGGTGGTTGGGGTGTTGGACTCTCACATGGCGAACTATGATTCAAGACTTGGACCTAGTGGCTTACTTTCTCACTTTCCCTCTCTCTCTCTCTGTATCTCTCTAGTGAATTGAAAAAGAATAATAATAAATAAAATTAAATAGTCTTTGTAAAAAATAAAGGAAACTTCTTTCTTCTTCTTTTCTCCTGCTGGCTGGATTATGAATATGAAGACTGGCTTAAGCAGCTACCTTGGGTCATGAGGTAAAAGCCATCCATTGAGAATGATGAAATTCCAAGGCAGAAGCAAATTCCCAGGAACCAAACACTAACAACACTGAGCCAGTCTTTACTGACTCTTTGCAGGCTTCCTTTATGTGAGAAAGAAATTAACTTAGCTCATTGAAGCCACTGGCTCTGTGTATTTTCTGTCCTATGTAGCCTAATTTAATTCTACTCAATACAAAGGACTAATTGCAAGAGAACTTCTCCAAGTTCTGGGTTTGCTGGTGTGGATGTTTTTAAAAAAAAGTTGCAGGGACAGCAGGTGGTATGGTGGTTAAGGTACTGGACTCCCACATGGCCGACCATGGTTCAAGTCCTGGTCCTGGTGGCTTGAGAATCACACTAGGCATATGTGTGTGTGTGCCCAAAATCCCAAGAGGAGAATAGAGGAGAAGGGGTTGCGGCATAGCCATTCCCCTTGTGGGGGTGATTTCTCACTTTCCCTCTCTCTGTCTCTCTCCAGCGAGTGCATGTGCACTATGGGGAGTTGGAACCTAAAAAAAGGAAAAAAAAAAAAAAAAAGCTGTAAATTCTAAAGTATTCCCTACCTTTGAATCAAGCAGACCATAACTACTCCAACCAGTAGGATATTGTAGAAGTAAAGCTCTGGAGGCCAGTAGGTGTAGTGGTTAAGACGCTGGACTCCCATGTGGTAGACCAAAGTTCAAGGCCTGGACCTGGCAGCTTAAAGGTCATGCCAGGTGTGTGTGTATGCACCAAAATACCAAGAGGAGAGTCAAAAAGAAGGGATTGCGGCACGGCCAGGCAAGGCCATCCCCCCTGGGGGGGTGATTTCTTATTTTTTGTCTCTCTGGCAAGTGCACACATTCTATAGCAAAATCTATAACAAAAATCTCTCTTGAAAAAAAAAAAAAAGTCAAGCTCTGTGATTTCTGAGGCACTCTTGGAGCCTTGGGCTGTCAAGGAAGAAACTGACTGTCCTGGGGCCATCATGCTGGAGGGGCCTCAATTAGGCATGCCAGTTAACAATGCCAGCTGAGCCCAAGGCCCAGCCACCCCAGCCACCCCAGCCAGCCCAGCCAGCCCAGGCACAGAAAAGTGAGTGAAGAGGCTCCTCCTGGTCCCTCGTGTCACTTTCAGGTGTACATGTTGTCTCAGTTGTGGTCTCAGATAGTGCGGAACAGAGAAGAGATGCCATTTTCAGATTCCTGACCCATGGAATCCATAAACGTGGTAATGACATGGGGAACAAGGGGTTGCAGGGGTAATTGGGCCCCGTACCTGAGTCACACATGGGTTCTTGTCTGTGGCTCACAAAGAAGTAGAGACGTGGATATAAGTAAGCAAGCAGAGTTTATTAAGAGAAGGGTGGAGGGGATCAGTAGGAGTTTGGTGGTTGAGGTGCTGGACTCCCACATGGCCGACCACAGTTTGAGTCCCAGACCTGGCTTTCTCACTTTCTCTCTCTGGTGAGCATGCATGTGCCCTATCGCAAATTAAGAAATAATAGTAATAATAAAATTAAATTAATAGTTCTTAAAAAAAAAAAAAAAAAAAAACAAGGGAGAGAAGGAAGGAAGAACAGAGCTTCCAAGCAGGGAGTGGGTCCCAGATGGGTTGCTGATGAGGAATTGAGGTGAAGGTTTTTTGGGGTTTTTTTTGGAGAGGTTTTTGGTATAGGGCGTGTGCACTCACCAGAAAGACAAAGAGACAGAGAGACAGAAAGAGAGAAATCACCCCCCAAGGGGGAGGGATGGCCACACCGCAATCCCTTCTCCTCCATTCTCCTCTCAGGATCATGGGCACATGTGCTCTACATGAGTTTAAGCCACCGGGACCAGGACTCAAACTGCAGCCGACTACATGGGAGTCCAGCAGCATAGCCATTATGCCAACTGCCGGTCCCAGAAGTGAGGGTATTTTTTCTGGGTCAGAGGGGCTTTGTCCGTGCCTGTTCCCAGGTGGTGCTGCATTTTCCTCACATGCTGGATAGGTCTGGTTATTTTCCTAATTTTGGAGAGAGTATGAAGGTCAGGAGGTTTTTAGGTAAAGTCCTAAAATTTGGGCAGTATAAGACCCTAACCTTCTTCCTGGAATTTGGTGAGAACAGGAAAAAAGTCTTTGTTTTAGGTCATTCATTAAGTCATCACTACAGGCTGTCTCTGTGAGCAAGCAGTTCAGCAACAGCTGTCTCCATCCTCAAACTTCGCCATTGTGTGATTCTACCTTGGGCCCATACCCCAGCTATATTAGAGTTCTGGACTCCCATGTAGTCGACTGCAGTTCGAGTCCTGGATCCGGTGGCTTAAACTCATGCTGGGTACGTGTGTATGTGTGCCCAAGATCCCGAGAAGAGAATGGAGAAGGGATTGCAGCATGGCCATCCCCCCTGGGGGGTGATTTCTCGCTTTCTGTCTCTCTGTCTCTCTGGTGAGCGCATGCACCCTATAGCAAAAACCTCTCCCCCCCAAAAAAAACCAAATAGAGTTCTATTATCTTTTACCTCATATGAGTTTTTTGTTTTGTTTTGTTTTGTTATTTTTTTTTAAGGTTTTTGTGTGTGCACTCAACAAAAAGAGAGATAGACAAGAGACAGAGAGAGGGAAAGTAAAAAATCCCTCCCCCTCACTCCCCGGGCTGAGGGAAGGATGGTCACTCTGGCTTGCTTTCTCACTTTCCCTTTCTCTGTATCTCTCGCTGGTCAAATAAAAAAAAAAGAAAAGATGAATAAAATTAGATAAAAATAATCATAAAAGAAATTATGCTAGTGTTTATTTAACAGAGTTAAGGTGGGGGGTGTGGGCAAAATTATTTATGTTAAGGACAGAATTCTGACTATTTTTTCCCTGTTTCAAAGTTGTTTCCCTGGGGCCTGGGAGAGTCACGCCTGTAAACATTAACAGAGGCCTACAAACATTAACAGACCAGCTTTGGCCCATTGATAGTGGGATGTTATTTCCTGTCCCAGGCATAGTCTTTTTATGATGTATAGTAAGCCTTTTTTTTTTTTTAAAAGAGAAATATTTGCTATAAGGCATATGCCCGTGCTGGAGAGACAGAAAGTGAGAAATCACCCCCCAGGGGGGATGGTCAACCTAGAATCCTTTCTCCCCCATTCTCCTCTCAGGATCTTGGGCATGTACATACATGCGTACAGTGTGAGTCATAAGCCACTGGGTCTGGGACTCGAACCATGGTAGAGTACATGGGAGTCCAGCAACGTAACCATTATGCCAGCTGCTGGCTCCGTCCTCTTGGGATTTTGGCACGCAGGCACACATGCCCAGCAGGAGTTTAAAGCCACTGGGGTCCAGGACTGAAACCATGGTCGCCTACGTGGGAGTCCAGCACGCAACCATTACACCATCTGCTGGTCCCAAGTCCTCTTATCTCTTAGAGTAAAGCACATTCTTTTGCTGATCTCTTCCAGGACTAGAGACTTGCGTTTTCCTTTAACCAATTAGGAATCTAAGAATTTCAAACTCACCTGTAGCCTATAAGCCTCCTGCTTCCAGATAACCCATCTTTTTTGGCCAGGCCAATGTTAAAGACTCCTTATGCTGATTGACAACAAGACTGCTCTCAAAACTATACAAAAAGGAACTACCATATGTTAGTGTCCAGAGAAACATACTGAATCTCAGGCTTAGCAATAAGCTGCATTAACTATTATTTCTGCAGAGTTGGTTGTATCTGTTGACAATGTTGTTAGGCCAGGGTGGAGGCATAGTAAAGAGGGTGTAGAGAAGCCTGGCTAAACTTGGTCAAGTAGAGCATCTTTTTTTTTGAGAGGTTTTTGCCATGGGGCGCGTGCGCTCGCCAGACAGACAGAGAGAGACAGAGAGACAGAAAGTGAGAAATCACCCTCCAGGGGGGATAGTCATGCTGCAATCCCTTCTCCTCCATTCTTCTCTCGGGATCTTGGGCACAAACGCACATGCGCCCGGCGTGAGTTTTAAGCCACCGGGTCCGGGACGCGAACCACAGTCGACTACGTGGGAGTCCAGCAACATAGCCATTACGCTAACTGCTGGTCCCCTCAAGTAGAGGGAAAGTAAGAAAGCAAGCACCAGGTCCGGGACTCTAACCATGGTCGGCCATGTAGTACTCCAGCGCCTTAACCACCACACCACCTGCCAGCCCCTATTTTTATTGTTTTAATTTGCTATAGGGCACATACAGTCACTAAAGAGAGAGAGAGGGAAAGTGAGAAAGTAAAGCTCCAGATCTAGGACTCAAACTGTGGTTCCTCATGTGGGAGTCCAGTGCCTTAACCACACACCATCTAACAGCCACACATGACCTATTTTTGACATTGAGGTGCTTGGAGTCTAATAGAATTGACAGATATTAAAAAGACAACTTAGGGACCAGCAGTTGGCATAATGGCTATGTCGCTGGACTTCCATGTAGTCGACCACGGTTCGAGTCCCGGACACGGTGGCTTAAACTCACACCGGGCGTGTGTGTGTGCATGCCCAAGATCCTGAGAAGAGAATGGAGGAGAAGGGATTGCAGTGTGGCCATCCCCCCTGGGGGGTGATTTCTCGCTTTCTATCTCTCTGTCTCTCTCTGTCTTTCTGGTGAGCACACGCGCCCTGTAGCAAAATTCTCTCCAAAAAAAGAAAGACAACTTATTATAGTTGTGATAAGTGTTTTGGTGAAGTACAGGTTGCTACAAGGGCTTATGATAGTAGAACCGGAGTAGCTGAGGGGTTTGGAAAGCATCTCTGAGGAAGTAATGTTTACAAGGATTCCTGAATCCTAAAGTGAAAAGTGATAGCAGAGATTCAAAATCATATCTGAGATGAATCTGGAACTTTCTCTGCTTTTGCCTTGCTCAGGGAAAAATAATTGTCTTACATCTCCTGTAGAAGGATGAGTGAAAGTTGTGTTTTGTTGTTTGTTTTATCATGAGTCAGTCCAAAGCTTTTTTTGACTATCCTTTAGGGGACACAAGCCAAAAAAGTGTAAGAAGCACAAATCTAGCCCCATTCTCTCATTTCACAGATGAGGATGTAGGGTGGAGAGATGTCTCAGGCAACTTGGGGGCTCAGGTGGAGTTAGGTAAGTTCGGATCTGCCTTGTCGCACTCTTCCCCACATAGCCTCTAGATGCTGGCATTCCCCAAGGAAAGGGGTTTCCTGTGAGCATCTCCCCCAGATTCCAAAAGGGGAATGAGGAGACCTTGCAGAACAGCCACCCCCAGAACAATCTACTGCTAATGCAGACTCCTGAGAGCCCCACCTACTCCGCACACCTCCCACAGAATAAGCTGCTGATTGGTGTAGTAAGACAGGTATGATAGGAAGGGCCTGGCTTCTGTCCAGACGCGTAACACAATTATGATCTGTGGTCAGATTTGAAAACAGACAAGGATTACAATTCCTAATGTCTTAGATCAGCTTGCCAAATTGGAAGGCTTCCCAACGGACTCTCAGTTGCCAAGCGATAGAATTAGGCTGACAAGACATGGGTCCGAGTCCCAGGTAATAGATAAAAGTTGTTATTTACTGTGTTCTGTAAACTGCTAGACTTATTCTTCAGGTATTGTCTCATTTCACCCTTACTGCAACTGTGTTTTATTTTAAGAATTTTTTTTAACTTTGTTTTTCCTTCCTTCCACCTTTCCTTCTTTCCTGTCTTCTTTATTTTTGATCAGAGAGAGACAGAGCAAGAGAGAGAGAGAGAGAGGGGGAAAGTGAGAAAGCAAGCTGCCAGCTCTGAGACTTGAACCACGGTCAATCACGTGGGAGTCCCGTGCTCTTAACCATCACACCACCTGCCAGCCGCAACACTTATTACAACTTCGAAAGGTAGACTAATGAGAAAACACAGGCTCAGGGAAGTGAAATGACTCCTCCAAGGTCACACGACACACACGTGGCAGAGCAGGAATTTGAATCCAGGACTCCTGACCCCCAGTTCAGGAATTCTCATCACACAACGCACTGGTGGGCAGGCTGCTATGAGACTAAGAGGTAGCTTTGCTTAGTGGATAGGAGCACAGGCTTAAAGTCCACTTGCCTGAGCTCAGCCCCACCACAGACTGCCGTGTGGTCTAGGTCCTGACTATTTTCTTATCTATAAAATGGTAGTGATAATAACAGGACCTCATGAGTGGGGCGGTTGGGAGGATTGAGTGATGTAGTCTATAGTCACCCTCCCTAGGCACAAAGCAGGGTAGAGAGAGCCACATCAGGGGCAAATGGAAGATGTCCAAGGTCTTGCTACTGGAATGGTCCTCAGACTAGCAGCATTGGC